TTAAGACAGCAAGTTTTAAGTAAATGTAATGGGACACACTGGACTTCAACTCGTATACTATTCAGTCCTAGTTATTTTATTCACAGGGACATGCTAAACCCATCTAAGTCATACAGCACCAGGGAACTGGGAAGTAATCAGGTTTTATCCAATGTCGCTCTTAATTCCGTACATCAGGAGCCCTTTACAAGAATCAAGGAACTCTTGAAGGACTGAGTCCTATAATAGCTTTAATACTATTGTACTTTGATAGAACTGAATGGCTCCCATTTCCCCTGGTAGTGTGACCTCCCTTGGATTTGGCGCACCCCCATGAATGTAATAATTTATAAATAAAATTCCATAACCTGCATATTGTTATATTTATAGACATCATCATTATGCAAATGGCATTTCGCAAATAATCCACTCAAGGGGGGTTCCTTGACGTTGGTGAGGGGCTCTTGGTCTAGGGAATTGGATCTGTACTCCAGTTCTCGTCAGCGATCTGCAGATCCCTGAAGAACTTGGCGCAAGTGATCACAAATCCATTACTTTTAGCATTACCTGGGAATACGAGAACAATGATAATACGGTAAAAGTCCCTGATTTTCATTCTGCCCATTTTAATGGACTTAAGGAACATCTGTCTAATCTCGAGTGGGGTAATATAGCTATTAATTTCATTGACGATGATCATACGATTACGAAGGGATCTGCATTTATAATTTTTTCTTAATAATGTACAACGTGCTCAGAGTATATATATTCCCCAAAGAGAAATTAGGTCAAATAATAACGATCCTAATTGGATTAACAGGAGGCTAAATCATCGTTTAGGAAAGAAAAGAGGAATTTATAGGCGCATCAAAAGAGGAGAGATTAACCTTATTGACCAATGTTTGGTTTAAAAGAGAACTAAAAAAAGGGGATTAGAAAGCTAAACGTGACTATGAAATTAGAGTTGCTAATGAATCAGACTAATTCAAACGGGTTGTTTCAAGTGTGTAAGACGAAGGTGAGGGAAAAAGTAGGACCTCTGAAAATTGGCAATGGACAGCTGACGGATAACGAACTGGAAATGTGTTCTCTATTCAGTGATTATTTTTGTCAGTCTTTACACAAGCAGTGAATAAGATTCCAGAAATTAACAATTATTCAGTTCTTGAAGAATTCAAATCAACTAATATTACTGTCACGAGGGACATGGATATCAAACAGATAAACTGAAACAAAATAAGTCCCCGGGACCCGACGAGTTGTTTTCCAGGGTACTGGAACTAAGTCATTAACGAGCGTGTTAAATGCGTCCATCCTAACTGGTGTTGTGCCAGAGATGTGGAAGATAGCTAATGTAGTTCCTATATTCAAATCAGGGGATAAGTCTATTCCATCAAATTGCCGTCTAATAAGCCTGAAGTCTATAGTAGGCAAATTATTAGAATCAGTTATAGCCGATATTGTTAAAATCATCTTGAGGAGCATATTTTGATTAATGAATCTCAGCATGGCTTCACGATTGATAGTTCCTGCCTGACAAATTTACTGAAGTTCTTCAATAAAACATTTGAAGCAGTAGACAATGATAAAGAATATGATATTGTTTATTTGGATTTCAGTAAAGCCTTTGATAGAGTACCTCACAAGAGACTTAAGAAAAGTGGCGTCTCTTGGTATAGGAGGAAAAGTTCTAGCATGGATAAAGGAATGGCTTACCAATAGAAAGCAGAGAATTTCCATTAATGGGGTCAAAATTGAATGGGGACTGGTCACTAGTGGCATTCCACAAGGATCAGCATTAGGTCCATTGCTGCTCATAATTTACATTAATGACCTTGATGAAGGAATTACAAGTGACATGCAGGGCCGGATTAAGAAGTCTACGGGCCCTAGGCTATTCAGATTGGCGGGGCCCCTTTGAGTTACCGGTAAGCGAAGCGACCCCTTCCAGCCTGGGGATGGGGGGTCGGTGTGAGCCTGTTTCAGGTCTAATTAAATACATTCTGGCTATTTAGATTAAATTTAATAGGGAAAGTACATCAAGACAACCAAAACCATTTGCCAACAGCCATTATAACTATCTTGTTAAATCATGCATTTTAAAGAGAATAAACTCAAGACAGCATAGTATTACTAGATTAGGCTATTAGTGACATCATGTACCTATTATATTCAGCATAACCACTACAGCACTATTATTCCCTTTATAAATCACTGACCATTATTGTTATCATTGCATCATGCATGAGACTATTAAACCATATAAACTACAGAAAATTGGAGGAATCTCCCATACTCACCCATTAGCGGGAAAACACAGCTGTCCTGATGTAAACAAAGGCGTGTTGAGTGTTGCCATCTATGGTTAGGTTTATTTATTTTTATTTTATTTTATTTCATTATTTATTTTTGTTTTGATTAATTTTTAAAAATCAATTTTACTCTCCAAACACTAACTTTTTAGGTAGGGATCCCTTTGCACTTGCACCATGTGCGCAGTCTTGGATGAGCCCCTGAACCCCTTGGACCACGGGGCCCTAGGCAAATGCCTAGTTGCCTATGCGGTAATCCGGCCCTGGTGACATGAGCAAATTTGCTGAGGAGGATACCAGCGAACTCCAGGAGGATTTGGACAAATTTATGTCTTGGTTTGATAAGTGACAGATGAAGTTCAATGTGGACAAGTGTCAAGTCCTAGTCCTTGGGAATGAAAATAACCCTCAAAGTTATAAACTATTTGAAGTAGAGCTTTATCATACAGAATGTGAAAAGGACTTGGGATTCATAGTATGCAGAATCTAACCCGAGACAACAGTGCCAAAGCGTGTGCAATAAGGCTAACATTACTAGGATTTATTTCAAGAAGTATGAGCAACAGAAGTCCAAAAGTTATTTTACAGCTCGAAACACCACTAGTGAGGCCTCATTTGGATTATGCCGCTCAGTTTTGGTCTCCTTACTACAGGATGGATATAGATTCGTTGGAGAGCATACAGAGAAGAATGACTAAAATTATTTACTCTATAAGGAATATCCCATATGAAGATACATAGAGCCTTGAGTCTTCACTCTTTGGAGAGACATAGAATGAGGGGAGATATAATCAAAGTGTACAAGTGGATGATGGGCATAAACAAATGAGATATTAATAAAATACTGAGGATATCGAACCAGGTAAGAACCAGAAATAATGGATTTAAGTTAAATTTAGATTTAGAAAGGCCATAGGTAAGTACTGGTTTTCGAACAGTTGTGGATGCGTGGAACAATCTTCCGAGTAGGGTGATAGAAGCTGGGACCTTGGGTGGCTTTAAAAAGAGATTGGACAAATATGAGTGGGAGGGGCTGGGTTTGATTGGTGTTGTGGGTAAGGGAGTAAATTCTTGGGTAGTGGTGATTTTGATAAGGACCTGCCTTGTATGGGCCAGTAGGCCTTCTGCAGTGTTCCTCCATTCTTATGTTCTTAATACCTTCCATCCCCCCCACGTGTTGTATAATCCTATGGGTTTAGTGCTCCCCCATGATTATTATTCACAAATGGTGGTAGGTAAACCACCAAGAATGTCAGATTCGTGCACTGCCGTTGCCACTCCCAGATCCTCAGGAAACCTCCAATAGTACATTCATTATCAGAAAGGAGGGTCACCTGGCATGCCCTAAGATGTTTTCATTGGGTGGAATGCCCTAACCACTTCACCACAACCAACAGAAGCTCTGTTAGAACAGTGCTGATAGCTATCCTTTTTGTCTAGCAGCTGAATTTCACAAAAGGGAAAATATCCCCACAATTGAGGCCAAAAAGAGAAGGGGACGAATATTTATATTCAGTCTAAGGATAAGGAGAAAAAGTCCAATTCCTTGAATTGTGAGCCTTTTTGCCACAACAAGAGACCCTCATCCCTTGTCCAAGACAAGGGCATGCACTGAGTGCATCACCTTTATTCAACATGGATTACAACACCTTTTGCACTCCCTCTACAATCAGCCAAAGACAATAGTTTATTACTGCTATATATTTGTTGATGGACCATGTCTATACTGTGAATAACTTCCAGTTATAAATGTCTACCAGTCAGGGTGAGGGGTTGAAGCACAGAAGAGTTGACTCTATTCCTACACCAGGGTCTGGATGGCAGTTTCTAACTCTTGCTGATTGCACATACTGGGTTCTCTTTTAATGAGTATATGAGCAAATGGCTCGTATACTCATAAAAGTGAGTGTATTCAGTTTTGCTGTATCATTATGTTACCAGTATGGTGTCTGTCTATTGTACAGCTCTATTATACAAACTGTAAATATTGATAGTGATAATGGCAATATATAAGTACTGCAAAAGGCTTCCTCTGGTGTTTGCCTTTGCATTTAATGCTTCTTGATATCTCCTTTACCTGTTAATCTATTTTAAAGCCAGGTACCATGGTCCTATTGTACCTGTGCTTGTAATAGGCATCCTCTCTGAAAGTAGCATCTTCAACAGGGATGCTATTTACCGTTTTGTTTTTTGTTTTTTGTTTTTTTTCTGAGAAAAATCTGTTACATTCTTTAATTTCGATGATCTAATAACATTTTACTCTGTTTCATAATTGCTTTGTGTCTTATACAGTACCTTCCTTGTTTTTTCTTCTTTCTCTTGTCATTAAGTTTGCCTTTTTTTTATACTCAAACAAATGACGTGTTTCTTGAATTCCAAACATATTAAGTTATTACCTTAATCTTCAAAATTAAGACTCCATGTCGGTCATCTTAATTAAGAAACTTGTGAATCTGGATAGAGATAAGTAAAATATCAATCATTCTCTTGATCAAGATTTTATATTACTCTGAGAGCTGGTTCAGAAGTCAAGGTAAAATGGGGTTGAATGTCACTCAGCTGATTTTGTGTTTTTCCTCAAATTCAAATTAAAAGCTGTCTTCATCTGTTGACTTCAGAAATGCATATGGCATTATCTTACATCAGTTTAACTGATAATACAGGACTACATTACCAAATTTATTACACAAGTTCTTTTATCATCTATAGGTCCACCATGACTACCTACTTCAGCTACCCCGATCAAGCACTCCAGGATGAGCTGCGCAGGATAGCCAATGCCATCACTGCTAAGGGCAAAGGCATTCTTGCAGCTGATGAATCTGTTTCCACCATGGGCAAACGCTTGGCTGACATTGGAGTAGAGAATACTGATGAGAATCGTCGCAAGTATCGTCAGCTTCTCTTTACTACTGACAAGGTAGGGCTCAACACTGAAACCATGCAGTAATTCTTAGTACGTATAATATTTAGTGCAAAAACATATAAGTTACATTTGCAAATTTTTGCAATACGTATATAGATTCAAAGCTCTGACTCAGCTAATTTATGCTGTAATACTGTACAGGCATATATTTTTATCTACAGTATTTATCATAATTTACTGTTGATACTGATCTGATGATATTGATGTGGCATCTTAATTACTGAAATTTAATTGGCAAGTTATTTCATGTGAACTTAATAGTCTAACTTTCTCATACAATGCTTTCCTTCAGCTATTTAAACTTACCATATGTTGAATACAATACTATAGCTGTATTTTTTACTTAAAGGCTGTAATTGCAAATTTACTTGCTTATTTCAACTGCTTTGTAACTCATCCATTGAACATTGCCCTTTTTTTTTTCCAGTCCATTTCCGAATATATTTCTGGTGTGATCCTTTTCCATGAGACCTTGTACCAGAAAGCTGATGATGGAACCCCCTTCATCAATCTCATCAAGGAGAGGGGTATCATTGCTGGCATTAAGGTAAATATAACCCAACAGTACTAAATAATATACTACCTTTTAACCAATCAAAAATTTATGAAAATGTATTCTGTATCAGAAATGTGTAGAAATGTGCCAATACTTTTGTATGGGTGTGAATCTTGGTTTTTAAATACTGCAGGAAGGAGTTAAGGGCAGCCAAATTTTGCATTGGAGATCAGTGTAATGTGAACATGGAATTAAGAAATAGGAAGAGTGTGGCGATTTGAAAAATATACAGTAATTTAGAGAACATTATTATTATAATCAAAAAGAAGCGCTAAACCACAAGGGAGTTTAGAGAACAGGTGTTGTTGAGATGATTGATCATGAATAGATTCATTAAAGGATATATAAATTAATCATCAAAAATAGATTCATTAAAAGGATATATAAATTTGGAATGGAGAAAAAGTGTAATGGATTAAAGGGTAAGGTTAAGCATTTAGTAGGCATATGTGAGTTAAATTGAAGTTGAGGGGAATACAATATTTTTTTGTTCATGCATTAGCATGGTAATATTTTTGATAAGATTCATGGAAACTGGTTAGTCTGACTTGAAATTCTGAGGTGAAAGCTATAATGATGTTGCAGTTCATTTGGTCATTATTGGATCATGTTTGTACACTTTAGAAAGAGAGCAAGATATGCCCACTGCATTAAAAATAATTATAGCTGCTCTCTTTTATCAAAAAGATTAAGTGTTCCTTTAGCGCTTATCACTGATTACCTAAGATTTTATACTATTACTGTATTAATTTTTTGGCTGTCATAATGCTAGTGACTCAGACCAATCAGATCACTTATTTTGTTCAATATTACTTATTTATTAGTACAGTATAGTATACATATATGTAATTTTTGTTGCCTTTCTGTATACAGGTGGACAAAGGTGTGGTGCCACTGATGGGGTCTGAGGGAGAAAGCACCACTCAGGGCCTGGATGATCTCTCTCAGCGCTGTGCTCAGTACAAGAAAGATGGTTGTGATTTTGCCAAGTGGCGTTGTGTTCTTAAGATTGGCAAGAACACCCCCAGCTACCAGGGCATGCTTGAAAATGCTAATGTTCTAGCTCGCTATGCATCCATTTGCCAGATGAATGGCCTCGTTCCTATTGTTGAACCTGAGGTGAGATAATGTAAATGTATTGTACTGGATATACGTACCTTTTACAAAAACTTTTCAATTAACTTTATATATATTTTTTTAAATTAATACTGCATTATTAAAATTAAATTCTAAGGAAAAAGCTCTAAACTAGCCTGGGTTACACTTTGATAGTAATTTACCAGTAACTACTAATTAATGCTCCCAACAGGTTCTCCCTGATGGTGAGCATGACTTAGACCGTGCACAGAAGGTGACAGAGACTGTCCTTGCCTTCGTCTACAAGGCACTTAATGACCACCATGTTTTCCTTGAGGGTACCTTGCTGAAGCCCAACATGGTCACTGCTGGACAGTCCTGCCCTAAAAAGTACACCCCAGAAGAGGTTGCCAAGGTAATAATTTATTCTTATTTGTAATCAGTATACAGATGTCCTTGCTTTATGCAGTAGACCCATTCCAGGTTCATAACAGTTGTACTAAGCTTTGTGAGGCCATCATTACTTAATTCCACATAATAAGAATCATCTATGCACTTTAAGAACCACAGGTTAGGTTAGGTAAAGTTCGTCAGGAAACAGGACAAGTGTTGCCTGACTCAGGTCGTCAGATGATCCATCATTGGAGCTTTTGGTCATCTGACCTAGTCCTTCCGCTGGCTTACCAGTCCACCCCTTTAAAAATTATAGTCATATTTATAACCATTTTTTCTTAAGAACCACATTGATAACCTAAGATGAATGTATATAGTACATTTGGAATTACCAATAGAAATGAGAAAATTACCTATAGAGGGCAGAAAACTCATAATGTAAGTGTAATGGTAAATGTTTTGCAATAAGAATAAATCAGAATAATCTTAATTTTGAGGTTTTAAAATCAGCTAGAAATCATAAGTTATAATAAAATTATTTATATTAATTACAAGCTTTACTACAGGCAACAGTGGTTACCCTTTCACGAACCATGCCTGCTGCTGTTCCTGGAGTAACATTCCTTTCTGGCGGCCAGTCAGAAGAAGAGGCCTCAGTTCATCTTGATGCTATCAATAAGTGTGTGGAAGCAAAGAAACCTTGGGCCCTTACCTTCAGCTATGGCCGTGCTCTCCAGGCATCTGTACTTAGAGCATGGGGTGGCAAGGATGAGAGTGTTAAGGGTGGACAGGACGAGTTGCTGAAGCGTGCCAAGGTACATCTATGGACATTTATTGTGTTACTAATGAATAATAATGCACTCAAAAGTGAATGGTTAGGGATTTCTTTTTAAGCAGTATATATAATGCATTTAAAAGTAAATGTGCTGGGATTACTTTTAATTAGTTTAATAAATTAAAAAAATATGTTGACCTATAGGGATTATTTTTAAATTCTGGAATACATTACAATTGATCCAAGGAAAGAGAAGGTAGCTCCAACCCTTTAGATCAAAAACTCTTCACATTCGTTACACCTCCCCCTTTGAAAGGAACTTTTGATCAATTCCTTTCAAATATTGTCCCTCAACCACTCAATACTTTAACTAACATTCTTTGATATTTTGGGTTATCTGTCAAATTTGTTTCAATGCTTTTTGTTATACTATAACTTTCTGTTAACTGTCATGAAGTACTTGGGATTTATGGAGTTTGAAAAGGATTATGATAAGGTGGCGAGGGTAGCAGTGTGACAGATGTAGGAGAAATAGAGGTTTTATTTTCCAGTAATATTAGGCTATAGACAGGGATGTATGATGTTACAATATGATTGTTTAACATATTTATAGATGGGGCTATAGAAGAAGTGAATGCTAGTGTGTTGAGGAGAGCTGTGGGATTAAAAGATAATTAATTTAACACAAAATGGGAGTTGTTACAGTTACTTTTTTTTGTGAATGACATGATTCTTTGGGAGATTCTGAAGAGAAGTTGCAAAGGTTGGAAGAGGAATTTGGAATGGTATGTAAGAGGACACTGAAAGTGAACAGAGGAAAGAGCAGGCTGATAAAAGTAACAAAAAAGCTAGGCAAGAAAGATTAAATATTGCATTAGGGAAAATATGGAGGAAATAAATAAGTTCAGATATTTGAAAGTAGACTTGTCGATGGATGGGTCTATGAAAGATGAAGTGAACCATAGAATTGACGAAGAGGAAAAAGGTGGGTGTTGCATTGAGGCATCTTTGGAGAACTTTATCAGTGAAGGCAAAAAAAAAAAAAATTATGCCAGAGTATAGTGGTACCAACACTGTTAAATGGGTATGAAGCATGGGTTTTAAACATTGCAGCAAGGACGATGCTGGTGGCAATGGAGTTGTTGTGTTGGAGGGTAACGTGTGGTATGAACATCATGCAGAGAATTCAGGGCTAGGAGAGTAGGTGGTGTTGGGATACCATAAATATTACTCAAGAGTTCGGGGTTGTTGAAGTGGTTTGGACATTTAGAAAATGAAGGAAAAGAGGATGACTAGAAGGGTTTATAAATCCTGTGGATGGTGGGGGGGGGGATATTATTAGGAGGGTTATGGATCATCCCATGAAAGGTTGAAAAGAGAGAGAGGGAGGGTATAGGTTTGGAGTGCTAGGGGCTTGGACATTCAGCAAGCTTGTACGAGTACATTAGATAGAAGTGAGTGGAGGCAAGTGGTTTTTATGAACTGCCATGCTGTTTGAGTGTGTGCAAGGTAATATGAAGGCATTCAGGAAAACTGGTTAACCAGACTTGAGTCCTGGAAGTAGAAATATAGTGCCTGCACTCTCAAGGAAGGGTGGGGATGCTGCAGTTTAGAGTGCCATCTGAGCTGTGATGTCCATACATTTCTGGCAAGACAGTGATTGAATGAGTAAGTGAAATTGTACAGCATAACATGTGTGATCAAAATTCTTTCCATGTACAGCATTATCATTTCCATTGCAGGCTAACAGTGAAGCAGCACAGGGTATCTACCAATGGGGCACATGCAAGGGCTATGCAGCTGACACTGGACTCTTCATCAAGGACCATGCCTATTAATTAAGTCACTACGAAAGAATCATGAAAAGTTTTGTTGCTTCAATCTATTTTACTGGGTTATGTAAAATTATTTATTAGCTTTATCATGATAACAAAATGTTGTAAAGGAGAGAAATTTCACCATCAAACAATTAATGTTGAGGCATCACCTGTAATACAGAATCTTACATAAATTTTGATTGTGATGCTGTTATTGTACCTGTCTATTAAATGCTGTTTGTAAAACTTTGAGTTTAAATATTCATACCAAGTCAGAATGAAATACCTGTATGCATTTTATAAGTAGGATTGAAATTACTTGCTTCTGCTAACATCTCCAGTAAGAAAGCAGTCACTATACTGTAATGAAATTTAGGAGGATAGCACGGAGGAAAAGTTGAAGTACTGTACTATATTAGTTTTCTCCATTCCAGAATCTCGCAAGACCTAACATAAAAATATCTTTGTTTTCATTTGTTAACCAATCCAAGGAAGAGTAGCTGAATTTGAAGATTATCTGATCCTGTAAAAGAGATACAGTTTCCCCTCACTTACCGACGTACTCGGTTACCGACAATTTGGAGTTACGACAGGCTCTCAGACGAGTCTGTGTTGTATACTGTACGAGAACTTGGGTCATGAACAGGCAGCACAGCATCTCAATCTCCTTCCTACAGCCACTTGGTACACTAGCTTTCACAGTCTCCAAGACTACATATTTGTACAAGTTTGTACTTTATTGTGCACCCCATAGTAGAAGATAGAAGTGCAGAAGCACTTGAAAGAGGAAAAACAACAGGAAAATGGAAGAAGTACAAAAGAAGTTCACAGTAAAGGGGTTAGCTGGTGTTTGTCTGTGTTTACATTCACGGTGTATCGTGGCATCTTAAGAAATGATTAAACTAAGTGAACAAGGTATGTCAATGTTAATAATAATAGTAATCGCTCTGGAGTGCTGTAAACGTTGGCTACCAAACGTATATGAAATACGTATGACATTGAAGGTGCTCCAGAGCGATTATTTATTATTATTATTGTAAATTATTATTATTACCATCGACATACCTTGTTCACTGAGTTTAACCTTTTCTTAATGACTCAGAAAAAAAAATTGGAAAAATCCTGCTATTTTGCATTTTCTCTTGTGATAAGAGTGATCTAAGAGTGTCTGCCCTGATGTAAACACGTTTTCATTCATTATAGACCAGAGGTGCTGTATAGCCCTTGTGGCTTAGCGCTTCTTTTTGATTATAATAATAATAGACCAGAGGTACAGACAAGAAAACGTATCTATCTTATGATCTTATCCCATTGCGGCAACCTCTGCTGCCTACCCCATTCACATAATATGGCATATATTATGCATTTCAATGTCTATTACAGTTCTAGGGTATTTATTGTGTTTCTGATAACAGTTTGGAATAATTGTGACAGATCACCTTTATTACTTATATCAGCGTAATTACACATTTTATTACTGCCACGGCTGGTATCCAACACCCATGACGACTCGCCAGATACTGAATGCTCCTGCTGGACTCTCCCTTTCTCCTATAGCTCTTCCCACTTCGTAACGATGTTAGATGGTGAATTTTATGTATTAGAAAAATTTAAAAAAATTGAAAAAATTCTGAAAATTCACTACATGTTCAGATGTACAGTGGTACCTCGAGTTACGAACTTAATTTGTTCCAGAAGGCTGTTTGAGTGCTGATACTGAACGAATTTGTTCCCATAAGGAATAATGTAAATTAGATTAGTCCATTTCAGACCCCCAAAAATACACTTACAAAACTGTTCGAGCTGGGAGCTGTTCGAAACTCGAGGTACCACTGTATATTACTCCCCGCGTCATAAAAATAATTTTTGTAAAATGACTAATTCTTTAGAAACATGGTACAAAGATGATACTTATACCAAAATGTTGCCAGGTTCTTAAGCTATTTTTCTGTAAGCTTATGCAAATTATAGTTATCAAGTTGGAGTTTCATTTTAATATATTTTTTCTTTCTAATATACGTATTTAATACACCACTTGGCATCATTACAAAGTGGGCGGAGCTATAGCAGAGAGAGAGAGAAAAAGAGAAGCGAGCAGTGTCTCAGTAACTCATGATTGACCATGATGCATGGAGGGGTGTGTCTCTCGGCACTATAAAACATTGTATAATTGTACAATTACTATTAATAAAGGTTATCTACCTATCATATTTATTCCAGAATAATATTAGGTATAGCATACATAATGCAGAAGCATGATAAAGAAACACAAATTAATAAACACTGACATTATATGGAGACGTATTAGGGGGTGGGCAGAGCTATACAAGAGGGAGAAGGTGCGATCAGTGTGACGCACAGAGAGGTATGTCTCTCGGCACTATAAAATATTGTATAATTATACTAATTACTATCAATAAAGGTTGTCTACCAATCATATTTATTCCAGAATAATATTAGGTATAACATAAATAATGTAGAAACATGGAAAGGTATTGAAGGATGGGCAGGGAGGGATACAAAAACAAGTGACCGTGACCATTACATAAAATGTTATGCGCTATGCACTGAAGGGTAACTATAGATCAATCACATCCTATGCAAAGACTGAAAAAAGTGTGATTTTTCTCAAATTTTTTTTTTCCCCAAGTAATCAGCTATGCGAACATTTCCAAGAATAGTACCTCGGAAGTATGTTATTGACCTATTTCATGTTGTATTACTGTTAATAATGAATGGATTAAAAGGATTTTCACAACAAACATAAAACTGAATGTTTTAATTTTGGGTTTTGACATTTTTGAAGTATCAGTAAAGGGTGATTTCTCGATTAGCGACGAATTCATTTACCGACGTGGTCTTAGGAATGGAACTCCGTTGGTAAGTGAGGAGAGGCAGTAAAATATACAGTAACCTATGTTAAAAATAATTAAAGCTTATCAGGTTGCTGCTTCTTTAATGCATTTTTTTAAGTGACATTTAGAAGTTTAAGTTGGAAGAAATGCTATACCTATAAGGAGGATGAAATGAAAATGGAATGCAAAGGAAGAAATTACATGAAACATGAGTGACATTAGATAATGGATAATAAATAAGTTATAAGACCCAAAAAAAATTAGAATTTTAAGCCCTGCAAATGGAAACAAAGGTAGACAGTAATTTTTAAGCTATATATATATATATACATATATACTTTAGATGACTTACGAGCCAGTTTGCATCTTATGTGTATTAGCTTCTGTGAATTTAATAAAAGGCTCACTGATAACTTAAAATATTAGAGTACAGTAAACCCATCAGCATACTGGAGACATACCTCTATAAATATATTAATTATATTTTTACCTTTGATCTTTGAGCCTTTTATATATAGTCCCTTGCAATAAAACTACAGCACTGAAAATTTTAATTGTACATTGTCCACTGTATTCATATATAGTGCAGTGTTACAAGTACAGTATTGCTAAGGGCAGTTGGAAGAAGCAGGTAAAAGACAGACATCAGATGTTGCTCCATGTTATGGAACAAGCATCTGCACAAGCGGCAAGTGATGTGTACATTTGTATATTGGTCTGGAATGTGTATATTGTTAATTGTCATATTTTTATATGTGAACCCTTTGCTAATAAAATATTCAGCTGTTAAGTAATATTTAATAGAAAACTAAAGCATTTGTAATCAAGGATGACAGTTAACAGGATTGTATTGTGTAGTTTTTGGTTAAAATAAGGGTTAACAGATTAAGTTTTATATAATATTCCACTAATTATTAAGTCTCAAAACAGTATCTAGGCAGTATTGAATACAGTTCAGTATTAAATGTAAAACTTTCTTACTGTGATTCTTTGCATTTTTAGCCAGGCTCAGCCAAATATTTTCTCAAATTAGATAAACATTTGAAATAGCTGACTGTAACTAAATATTGTGACTAACATTGGGGGTTATTAAAGGCCACCACAACTTACAAGCCCTGGTACTGTATCTGAAGAAAATATTGCATATATCTATCTGGGAAGGAAATATTACAAATATCTGAGTGGAAAAAGAAAAGGGAGCAATCGTTTCAAAGAAGTTCAAGTGTACCCAGGCAGAGTGAGGTACCTATACCCTACCTGACTCTCTAACTGGATTTTCTCTAATTATGTACAGTAGTGTACTAAGCACAGAAAAAAAGTGGGTGTTTGGCACCCTAACCAATATACCACTCCAGGAAGGTATAAGGAGAGCAAGCATTCCATGAAATAAATAGGCCTAATTTGCTACTGATGCTCAAGGCAGAGAGAAATGTCCACTCACACCAAGGTTGATGCAGAAGTTCATACCAGCCAGTTATATTTTAAGGGTAGCACTTATCTACCAAGCTAAAAACCTTTGGGTACATACAATTACTTTAGTTAAAGGGAATTCAAATCAAGTAAATAAAAAGCTACATTTGCATAGCCAGAGATACAACAAATAAATTAAGTCAAACCACACTTACTGAATGTAAGTTAATACCATTTTGTACCATATTGTTTCATGAAACAAGAGCTTTTCAGAAAATTGCAATTTTTATAAAAGACAATTTAATAACATGTTTGGTTGCATAAAAGTCATGTTATAACTAGATTTTACCAAAAAAATAGATTGAATATTTTTTAGCAAATGGTTCTCTTGTCATTTTAATTTATGAGAATGAACGAATGAAGAAGAGGTCAATTATGAATGCAAGAATTAAATTAATAAAATACATAACTTTTTTGTTGTTTTAGTCCAATATATATAGTGTAACTTGTAAATAACATTTTCTTCACAAAATTTATTTCCTCAAAACAATGTGAACAAACCTCAGATAGTCACTGTTGTACGAAGAACATTAATATTTATTCTTTACTGTCTAATATTGTTTGATTATTGTAATATCACGTCTTAATTTTAAATATTAGGATTACCATCTATATAATATTTTGTTTCCTACTATTTGTGCATATCTTTTCCTCATTGCTTCAATTATTTTTTTTATATTATATGCTTCCTATGCAGGATATACTTCACTTATCAGGCAGTTAAATCAACATGTGGAATTTTCTAGTAAATATTTCAATTGTTCCTTCAGAAGTGTTTAACACTTACAGGTAACTGAAATGTACAAGAGATTACACATTGCCCAGAGGGAACAGGTTACATATTTATGTATGTTATGAGGTGAATGTACTGTGCATTCATCACATAATGAACTGCAAGTTTTATGTACAAGGAAATGTCTGCTGGAATGGGGCACTGTTGTTAGAGGCAAGTTATAAAAGGTAAGGAGAATGTATATATAAAATTTTGTCAGTGCTCTGACAACAATGTGGTTAAGAAGAATGTACAGGAAACTATGAATATAACTACAGTAATTAAAGTTTAATATATTTTATTTTCCATGTAGTTGAAAACACTATAGCTACTATACTCCCTGAATTAAAATACAATTTCTTCTTCAAATTAATTTATTCCTTAACATCACACAATCATGGTTATGGAGGTTTCTCAGTCATTTTGAGCATGAATTTGTTAGCTACAATATAACTTCACAGTGTTAATAACCAAGGATACCCCAAGAAAATCAAGCATTGTGGCTTATTTCCATTGGGGTTCTTATGACTTACCCCTTTCCTCTCTCCCCATGATATGTGGTAATAAAATTTGTCAGCCTAATGTGGAATACTTCATTAGAACAAAGAGGATATCAACAAGCATTCTACTGTGGGGTCAGCAGATATAACAGCTTCAAAGGTTTATTTCCAGAAGTGTAGGAATTACATTTACACGAGGATTACAATTTTCAACTGCACATTACACAGCGAAAATTCTAAATTTTATTTTCAAAATGCTATACATACTAGTAATTAAGCTGCTTACATTGCTTTTCCACTCATTTCTTGCTAATTGCCTGTTCACCAATGTCTTGCTGTTATAAATTTACTACAAATAATGTAGTAATTCCTTATCTTGCTATTTCTTTTTCTTCTGGGTTTATCTAAGTATACTACACAAGTACATATATATTGATTTCTTAACTGCCCATCCCCTCTTTTGATATGCCTATATATGCCTCTCTTTTGACCAATGAGATGTTTTAATCTATTGTTCATCCCTTTGTTATCATTTTTGTTAGATCTAATTTCCCTACTCGGAACAAAAGTTGTCTGGGCAGCTAGAACTATGCTCTGAATAACGTCATATTGGCAACCAAGATCACCTACCTGACCCATAGTCAGGATATCCCAAATTTAGCCCACCCAGGTAATTTTTCAGTCCCATGAAGTCAGCCAAGCGAAAATCTGGGACAGAGATTTGATTGCAGTTATCTGGGTAATTCCATGATATATTGAAACTAAGAGATTTGTGATCACTTTTCCCAAGCTCATCATTAACCTCAAGATTATTAATTAGTGAATCTTTGTTGGCAAGAACCAAGTCAAGCAGATTGTTTCCTCTAGTTGGTTCTGTCACAACCTGTTCTAAAAAGCAATCCTGAACCGTATCAAGAAAGTCACTAGACTCAAGATTTCCTGTCATAGTGTTCCAAGCAATTTGTCTAAAGTTAAAATCTCCCATTATCACAACATTTTCATATCTAGATGCCTTATGAATTTCATCCCATAACAGCTTACTGCCCTCCCTATCAAGGTTTGGGGGCCTATAAATCACACCCAAAATTAATTTGTCACATCCCTCGAGAAACTGTAGCCAAACAGATTCTGTGTTCGATGTTTCTAATCTTATATCATGTCTTAAGACAACAATTTAAATTTTCTCTGACATACATCGCCACACCACCACCCTTCCTGTTGACCCTATCAGTGTGGAATAGTTTGTAACCCTGTATGTTGCATTCAGAAGGCATTTCTCTATCTTTCAGGTTGAACCAGATCTCTGTTATACCAATATATCTATATTACCTACACTTGCAAGTAATCTTAGCTCATCTATCTTATTTCTTAGACTCCTACTATTCGTATAATAAACCTTAAGGGAGCTAGTCACTCGTTGCCCTCTACTATCTCTCTTTGTTGATCAATTGATTTGCCATTACTAGCAACTTTATTTTGAATATTGTCTTTTAAACATATCCCTGAGGTATCCCAGTAATAATTGCTGTTTTTAACCCTAATGCTGCAGCCTGATTGTTTCCCACAAACACCCATACCTCTATAATCTATCAGTTTAAATTCCTAGACAAGTCATCAATTACCCTCTCAATTGAATTGGCTAATGCAACCACCCCATCCCCAGTTAAGTGCTATATTGTACTTATATGTGCAGTGAAAGTTCTCTGTATATTCACCAGGTCTGCAATTTCTCCTGCCTTGAAAGGGGCCTTTAGTGCACAGCAATATTCCTACCTAGAGAGAACAAGTGATTTGAAGAGAATCATCATTGGCTTGGCATCCCTAGTTCTGAAGGTTCTCATTATCCATCCTATCAATTTCCTAGCAAATGTGATAGAAATATTGTTGTCATCTTTAAAAGTGAGATTCTTTGACATTATCACTCCCAGGTCCTTCACATTAGTTTTTTGCTCAACTGTGTGGTTTTAACTTGTTTTATACTCCTATCCAGTTTTTATTTCCTTGAGTTTTCCATAGCTTAGTACATAATTGAAATTTGTCTTCAGTGAACTTCATATTGTTTTCTAAAGCCTATTTAAAGACTTGGTTAAGATAAGATTTCGTTCGGATTTTTAACCCCAGAGGGTTAGCCACTCAGGATAACCCAAGAAAGTCAGTGCGTCATCGAGGACTGTCTAACTTATTTCCATTGGGGTCCTTAATCTTGTCCCCCAGAATGTTGTCCCCCAGGATGTGACCCACACCAGTCGACTAACACCCAGGTATCTATTTGCTGCTAGGTGAACAGGACAACAGGTGTAAGGAAACGTGTTGAAATGTTTCCACCCGCCGGGAATCGAACCCGGGCCCTCCGTGTGTGAAGTGGGAGCTTCAGCCACCAGGCCACCGGTTAAGTCCGCTTGGAGATTTGCAGCCCTCAGTAGATGACACTTGTCATGCAAGTTCTGGTATCATCAGCAAAGGACACAGTGCTGTGGCTTACATCTCTGTCTATACCAGATATGAGGATGAGGAAAAGGATGGGAGCGAGTACTGTACCTTGTGGAAAACAGCTTTTCGCTGTAGCCGCCTCTGACTTTACTGTTTACTTTTACTTTTTGTGTTCCATTTGTTAGGAAGTTATAGATCTGTCTACCCACTTTTCCTGTTACTATTCCTTTATCAAGCATTTTGTGTACTATTACACCATGAGTGCACTTGTTGAAGAGTTTCACAAAATCTGTGAATACTACATCTGCATTTTGTTTGTCCTCCAGAGCATCCAAGACCATGTCATAGTGGTCCAGTAGTTGGGATTATTATTATAATCAAAAAAGAAGCACTAAGCCACAAGGACTATACAGCCCAGTAGTTGGGAAAGGCAGGGGCGACCTGCTCAAAACATGTGCTGCTGTAGGTTGTGTAACTGATGGTTATCTAAGTGGGTGGCGATCTTGCTTCTTAGAATCCTTTCAAAGATTTTAATGATGTGGAACGTTAGTGCTATTGGTCTGTAATTCTTTGCAATTGCTTTACTGCCACTTTTGTGTGGGTTGCATCCTGGGGGACAAGTTTGAGGTCCCCAATGGAAATAAGACAATCCCTCAATGACCACTGCCTTTCTTGGGTTAGCCTGAGTGCAAACCCTCCGGGGTTAAAAATCCGAACACAATCTTATCTTAAAGGTGGGACTTTCATAGAGAAAAGATAATATATAAAATATGACAGCGTTTATAATAGATATAAATAAATGCTTCGTAGTAAACGGGACAGTATCAAAGGATGTTGAGCTGTCACAATGACCTGTTCAGTCATAAACAATAGCAGAAAAGGGGAAAGGAAGCAAAACTCTAAGAAAAGTGATATGCTAGTGACTATCGGTGCAGATAGGGAAGGTTGTTGAACAAGTGCAGATTTAAAAGAGGGATAGGGCTGAATGAACAGATTAATACTTTACCTGGAGAGTTTTGGAGGTCGATGCATCGACAGCCCAGTCTGCGACCAGATCAGGGGCTGATCAACCAGGCTGTCTGACTTTTTTGGGTTATCCTAGGTTCTCTACACATATGCTGCTATGTATGATAATTCTATGTAACTGTATTTGTGTATACCTGAATAAACTTACTTACGGACTAGTTGGTCAGGTGCTGATTTTAGGTGCCTGACCAGCACCTTGAAAACGAGACAATAGTTTTTGTCAATTCAGTAGACTGGGTCATTGTCAGATTAAAGTAAAGGATTTTATTTTATCTTGGGATGTGTAAAATAGTGTGTGGGTGAAAGTAGCTCTTGATTTCAGGAAATGGAGCTGTGCCCCAGTTCCTTTAGTGAAGCTGAATGCCCTCTATTCCCTCAAGCAATGTAGACCCCCACGGGCTTCGTACTCCCTATATGTGGTTGCAGGGGTCAATTCACAGCTCCCATTCAATGTAATGAGGGCTGGGAGTAGGCCAAGGCTAAATAAATACAAGATGACTAAATGGAAGCACTTAAGCACAAACTGGGTCCAAATGACTGAGGTAGACGTCTCGAATACAGTGTGATAACTTGTGTAAAGGTATAGTGATACTGTAGAATGACGATGACGATGCTAAATCTAGCAAGATGGGTGACAGAGTTGTTGAGAGTAAGTCAACTGTAATCAGATCATTAGTTACGTCGACAAAAGGCAAATTTCAACGCACCTTTCATGAGATGCCAGTCTTACAATGTCTGGTGTATGAAAGATAATAATGTTTGATCCAATGGAAGGGTTTGCTCCAGTTCCTTGGACCAAAGCTCTTCATCGATATCAAAATACCCCTCTTTGGAAACAGCACTAGAAAACCCCACTTGTTTATGGCCTCAGGTTACACACCGAGGTACCTGGGTGTGCTAGGTGAACAAGGGGCAGCAAGTACCTCAGTGTTAAGCGACTGGTGGAGTCTTATCCTGTACTCACCTAATTGTGGTTGCAGGGGGTCGAAACTCAGCTCCTGGCCCCGCCTCTTCACTGATCGCTACTAGGTCCTCTCCCTCTCTGCTTCCTGAGCTTTGTCATACCTTTTCTTAAAACTATGTATGGTTCCTGCCTCCACTACTTCACTTGCTAGGCTATTCCACTTCCTGACGACTCTATGACTGAAGAAATACTTCCTAACGTCCCTGTGACTCGTCTGAGTCTTCAGCTTCCAGTTGTGACCCCTTGTTTCTGTGTCCCCTCTCTGGAAGACTATTAAAAACCCCATTAGAATTAAGACTGATAATAACCCGACTATAGTTTTCCTGGGTTACTTACTCTCTGGGTAGCGCTGTACAGCCCTTGTGG